CTTATGAAACTGGTGGAGCAGCACGATCGAGAGGAGAGACTAGCACAGGGGACTTCGGGCGGCCAGGGCACATAGGGACACTCGGATGTGGGACCAAGTTCAAGATGTATTACAGCTGTGATACGTTATCGCATGTACATTACTGGTATCAGGTTTGCTATAGGGCCCCCTCCCCTCATTGGCCAGACAACGTGTTAGGGGTGGCGGTCTCCCTGAACTGGGCTTTACCGGACGCACATTGGCCCCCCATCTCAAAATCAGCCCAAGCGGCTTCATGGGTGAAGTAGACGATGAGATATCTATCCCCCTTCCCCCAGTCCTCCACCAGGTGAAGTAGATCCCTCCCACGAAAGAAAACGACATCGCCAGGGCGAATACGAACATGTAGGCCTAGTTGGGGGAATGTCAGGTAGGCCTGTTCGAACGTGCCAAAGTAAACAATGCACGCCCAGGCGAAGTGCGGGTCGCTGAGGTCGAAGTGAGCAGCCGACTTGCGATTGAAGATGACTTCGAGGTTCTCCCAAAATAGGTTACGGGTTGGACTCTCAAAAGCCTTCTGCTCAGGGGTGTCGTCGCACCCCAGGCGAACCTCCTTCAGACGTTTGAGTAGATTGTGCTGGACAGGATCTACCGTCTCGAGGAGTGCTGTACACAAAGATGCCAAAGCGGTTGTGTCTCTCCAAAACTGGAATGTGCCGCGATAGCTATTCACTGTCCGGTGCATGTGGAGGCCTGGCCCTCCCGGTCGGTGCTGGCAGGGAAAGTGAGAAAGCACCCCAGGTCCCAGCAGATGTGAACTCACCTTATGGCCTGTGGCGTGCCAATACTGGCATATGTGGGTCATGCCAACGATGCCACCCTTGGGGCAGAAGTCATGGTCTTCTCGCCCGCTCACCTTCTTGGTGGGGGGTGCAACCTTAGACAACTGCGTAGCTGCATTGGTAATGTGCTCCTTTGTTCCGTGGATATAAGTGAGTTATCCAGGAGGTAGCATTACTCACTCACCAGGGTGGTGGGTTTGACAGCACCTAGAAAATGAAAGACGAGGTCGTAACCGTCTCCGCTCACCGCGCGACAAGGTCCGTCCTCCCCGTCAAACGTATGGGTTATGGGTAGTTCTTCCTTTTTCCCCTCAGCAACCATCTTCGGGTTGTCTACGGCCTCTTGCAAAGAGAAATGGGCAAATGTTTCTGGCAAAAAGGCATCAGCAGGGTCAGTGTGCGCACACCCAGGGTGAACTCACGTGATCTTTCACTACTCAACACGCTCGATGCCAACTTACGGGCCTCTCTGACCCTTTTTGCGGCGATAGTATTGAGTCTGTGCTGGGGAGTGGCTCCTTTCCATGCCCAAGCCTTGCGAGTAGCAGGATCACCCCGTGGGGCAGGCGTCCCGGAGTGGAGACTCATCCACCTACACCCTGTTAGCGTCAGAAGAGTTACCACACTACAGTACTCACTCCTCCAGCTCATCCAAGTCCGTGAGGTCACTGCCATCGCTGAGTGCCTCAAGGTCGTCGTGGACGTCAGTGTCATGAGCGCGAGTGCTCCGTGCCCCATGCGCTGGTTCGTGGCTTGCAATCGCACTGCGTGGCATCAGCCTGAACGAAGCGCATGCACTGAGACATGAATGTACTCACCCGTCAAGCTCTTCCACATGTATGAGGATGGCGGTTTCACGCATTGTGGCCTCCTCAACGCCAACGCCGAAACCACCGGCATCTGCGGTCCTCCGGACGCGCTTGTGCATGACCAGGGTTGTTACCCTATCCACCTCGCCGGATCTGGTGTCATCTCCGTCCGACACCTCAACCAGGATGTGTTTGCCCGCCTTCCCAGTAAACGCAGTAACAGGCGGTGGAACGAGCTGGGGGGTAGCAGGTGCAACGGGCAGTTGGAAGGAGCTTACTTCTGCGCCATTGCGGATTGCGCCAACAGATGCTAAGCTCGAGGGGGGGAGGAGAGCCGCATGTAAAGGCGAGACGTTCACATGCGGTGCCAAAGTCGGTCCTCCTCGATGGCCATTCCGCCTGGCATGGGCCGCGTTCGTGGGGTTTTCCTCGTCCAACTGCCACAAGGCCAATGGTGTCACGGATTTCGCGGGCCGGGGCGGGAGTGCGCCGAATCCTGCAACAAGAGCTTTGCTCAGTACGAGCGACCTGTGTGGGCATGATAGGGACCTGCCTATTGAACCTACCATCTCACCACGAAGACCCAAACATCGACACGTCAACAGGTGAACCCCAACCTGGCTCCCGAATACCGGCCGACACTAGCCAAGCGCTTAGGGGCGGGACTGATGGGAGCCCGACCCTCTCATTGCGACGTGGGCGTCTGGCTGCCCTCATCCCCTCCTTGTCATTCTATTTCCTGTCTCCTGCACCCAATCCCCTGTTCTTCTTCCCCTTGGGTCAGCTTGCAGCACCAGAGGTATCAAGTGAAAGATGTTGATAGGTGAGTGGCGTTCAATTGAGCTAGTGTTCCTCCCATTACCTCGGACCCCAACCCCCTATTACTTCCGACATCTACCCCCCGCCTGGACATCTGAATGCAGAGTCAGGCGGGGCTAATCTCCCTATCCCTTCCGACCATTGCTTTCGACCTCTATCTCCCGCCTGGACATCTGAATGCAGAGTCAGGCGGGGCTCATCTCCCTTTCGCAATCGCGGGCATTTGTCTCTTATCCCCTTCTCAGTCCACCTCTGCCATTGTCTGATCCTCGGGGCATGGAGTACGAGGAGGTTTCTTCGTGAGGTTCATTAGACTGGTTACTCACAGCGCAAAAATAGGTTCAAGCCCTCAAGCCTTTTAAGGCATGGAAGAGCGACGATAAACGTGAGTGTCGTTGCGATAGTCAATGGAACCACACTCTAACTAGATGACTCCTTTCGGGCTCCCTAGCATAGGTCAGTGCGACCCGACGACTTCGAGTCCCGCGTCAATCTGACAGCCCATGACCATCTTCGCGCTGGTCATAGCATCCACACTGGAGATCGGGTGTCCACCCTCGACCCCATGGGCCCTGATAAGCTCTGCTCGGCAAAGCGAATGCAGACGTGAGGTCAGGACAGTACGTCGCCGCAACGTGAAGGTCCCTCCCAAAAACCAAGAAATCTGAGTGAGTCTCCCTTGAGGGCAGTCAATGTGATCACGCTAATGGATAATTGTCGCCCCATGCTGCGCAGTAACGTCTGAATTCAACTTGGACTACAAGATAGGCTCAACGACAGGGGAAGCTGGAGTCAACTGGTACAAGAACGTATGGGAGAGAGGTGCTGTAAACACGTCAGTGGACCCACTAGGTGAGTAGATGCCTACCTCAACTAATAGCAATGGAAGAACGTACCGATTTCATGCGATGTTTAGTCCTTGCGTGGCTTCTTGGGTGAAGAGCTGGAAGCGGCCTCTTGCGGAAGCCAATCAGAGACGAACGTCACGCTAGCAGATGAAGGAGC